CACTTGTGACTGCTCGACGTGCACACCGGCGAAGTGTATTAAACACGCTTTCATCATTGTGAGGATAAGAAAAAGGTGTATAAATAGTTAAGTGAGTGTGGTGCATCGGATACGGTGTTTATTACGGCGACACGGAGAATGATGGGAAAAGATATGAACTGAACACGCTTGCGGTGAATGCTACATGACAGACAGAACCATTCTGTAATCCATCTGGTTGCGGCTTGCTTCCCGTGCCTGGGAGCGACCGTGTGTGAGCGCGAGTGAGGAGCGCGAACAGTGAAACCGCATAACAATCATTGTCCCAACTCTCAATATCCACGGTCGCCAAGTCAGCATGCCCTTGGCTTCGCGATACATGCCAAACTGCTGACTCCCCGTACTTCAAACTTCACGTTGTCCTCACCGGAACTCAATCTCGAAGGAATGGCCGGGTGGGTGCAAACCAGGGTGGCTGGCGGTCTTTGGTACCACTAAATTTGGGTGGTTGCCCGCCGACCGAGAAAGCCCGCCAAGGCTTCCCTTTCAAGCGCAAAAACTTGGTTTTCTTTCAAATTCGTGCCAGGAGCCCAACCGGCCCCTTGACCGACGCTCAACCCCAGACTGCGCTCCAGAGGGTCCAAGCTGCTGAGGGAGCGGGGCATCCGGGACGCATTTTTTTCCGCATCCGAAGCCCGAACCCACATATCCCCAATCTGAACACATCGTCAACCAACCGTTTGTCAAAACAACGATCCAGTGAAATCGCCTAATTCGTCGGAAGCCCGTCATCAACGCATCCTGCCCCGCATCCCATCACTATCCAACCCGAGCTGTGTCCAATGCATTGGGCATTGCCCACAAGCATGAGTTAAATCCGACCCGACCTTCGTAGCGGTGGAAAGGGGCGCGGGACGCCACGTGTGCATTCCACCCGTCCCGCGGGCGCAGTTTTGTGGTTTAGGGGAATGCGCGGGACGCCGTATACCCGTCCAAAGACCAAACATTCTGGCATTTACATTGGCGGCGCCTGCATAATGGCTAGGTACGGTGGGCGTGTGAGTGGTGGGCGTGTGTACGGTGGGCGTGTGTACGATGGGCGCGTGTACGGTGGGGCGATATGGCCCGCCCCCGAAACCGCCAAAACTATCGCCACGACTGTACTGTACACAAGCAGCGCACAAGAGCGCAAGGGACGCACTGGAAGCCACAGGCACCCGCCCAGCACCTGGCGCGCACCCACGCCCTGAACCCAACCAGGAAGATGTACAAATTCAGTCCCGTGATCGGGCCCCGTCGCGCCATGCCGCCCCGCCCCCCCGGGCCCACCTCGGCCTCGGGACGGACACCGCCGCGCGGCGGCCCCCGTCAGCGCCAACCGGCGCCGCCCGCCCGTCGCGAGGCCCCAACACCAGCGCCCGCCGAATGCCCACGAGGGCGCACCCTCGGCGCAGCGACCGGAGCCGCAGCACCCCGGCGCCCAGGGGGCCCAGCCCGAATGATATGCCCCTCGCGATGGACAATGTCGGCGGCAATCCGCCTTTCGTTGCTGCTCGTATGCCTCTGCCTTCTGGGCGCCTCGGCGTGCGACGACGACGGGGATGACAATGAAGGGACGGGTGCCGGCAACATGGTGTCGTGTGTGGAGTCTTGCGAGGTGTGCGCCAGCGGGCTGATGCCCGGCGACGAAGTCGTGGCGGAGGAGTTCAAGGACTGCAATGGTTGCGGCGGGGTGGCCTGGGAGGTGGAGTGCGTGGCCGAGCGCCCGCCGTCCGTGCGGGTAAAGGTCAAGGTGGACGTGGGCGCGGGGAACGTCGAGCATGTGACCGGGCCCTACGCGCTGATGGCGGACTGCGGGCGGGGCCTGCTGCTTGCGGAGCGGGTGGAGTGGGAGGGCGAGGGGGGGGACCCGGCCGTGGCCTGGCGCGTGATCGTGGGGGAGAAGATCGAGGGAGACGAGGGCCGGGTGGACGCCAGCCTGCCCTGCAGGGGCGGGGCCGGGGAGGAGTTCGACCCCCTGGGCCCCGGAGTGGCGCCCAGCGCCAATCAGACAGTTAGCTGCACCGCGGAGTTCAACTGATCGGTCGCCGCGCTGCGCGGGAAGGCTTCCGGGGGAAAATCGGCGCGCGGCGCATGCTTTTTGCGCGCATGGAAATGATCGCCTCGGCGTTGGCTGGTCCGGGGAGGGGGCTGGGGGGAGGGCGGGTGGAGGGGGAGAAGGGGGAGGCCGCCGGATGCGGTTGGGCGCCGGGAGGAGCGCGAAGGGCGGGCGTGCGTCTCGGAGCATCACGGGGATCGCGGACGGCGCCACGCGGGGCGGCGGAGGGCCGTGGGGCTGTACCTACATTTCGATGTTTGCGTGACCCCAAGGGTCAGTCAAACCCGAGGAGGGCCGTGGTTGCGACATGGGCACGGGGATTGGCGGTGTAATGGAATCCTGCGCAATCGCGCTGTGGGTTGAGGCGCTGCGCATGGAGAGTGCGTGATAGGCGAAGGTTTGGGAACGAGCTGGAGGTGATGGTGCCACAAACAGATCTCAAAGCATGGTGGCGTCCTTTTCGGGCCAGGTCGTCGAATCAGTCAGTCCATGCGTCCTATTAATTTCAGTGGCATTACGTCACCGGAACGCAAAGGAGAACGCCCGGTGGGGCGCCTGCGTCATGGGCGTCCGCTGTCTTCGGGGCTGCGCCTGACAGGGTAGGGATGCCCAGCATAGCTGTGGGCGCAATAGATGAAATCTGTGTTCCTTAAGAACTGCAAATGTGGTGTTTCTGTGCAGTGCCCATGTGTCAACAGTGTGTGTAGGAGCGTGCGGTGCACGCACATACATGCTCTACATTAAGAAGCAATCTGCAGAATAGCGTGTTGTTCACCCAGACGTGTGGGACACAGCAAAAGAAATGGGAATGAGACAGCTGTCGTGCATTGGAAGGCAACGCTACAAAATTGCCAAGTGTGGTGGGAGCTGACGCATTTTTTCTGCTCATGCTTGCAACGCTTGGTCTATTTGTGAAGGCTCCGACAGTCACGTTGACCAATTGCGGTCCTGCCGAACTTTGTGAGGTGCCCAAAAGATTGAGCAGCACAGCGATGCGACGAGCATTACGAATTCACGCAGTCTTGGGTACATGACGTTTCATGCAGAATGCAGCTCGAAGTTGAGCCAAAACTATGGCACATGGCTTGAAATTTTTACTGCTCCATACGGAATGTGAGGCTGTGCTGCATCCAAGGATTCCTTGATAAAGGAACAAAGGAAACATGGCTTTGCGTGTGCACCCCTCCCCGGAGCAAAATGGGTGAATTTCTTTCCCGTCCTGGAGCAGCTGATGTAGAATCAGGTGACAAGCCAGGTGACAACACGCAAGCATATGCAGCATGCGCAGCAACAAGACATGCACACAGGTGGGGGGGGCGCATGGCGAGGTTGTGCAGGAAGTCCAGAAAACATGATATAGTAGGCACCAGGACCCTGTTCACTGCAAGCAGCCCCAGAATCACACCACGACCACCAGCGGAAAACAAGGAAAAGCTGACGCCCTGCCAGCCCAATTCGCAAGTTGTGCTTCAATTTTGGCTGGTGGGCATGCTGCAAGTCGGGGACTGGGTGTGGTGGACCGGCTCCTGGCTGCAGCCCAGACCTTGTGAAAGCTTTCTTTCCACAACTCTGGTGCAGCCACGCCCAGCCGCAGCAACGTGGCCAGTTGTTCATTCCTGCTTCCAGCTGCCTAGACGACTTTCTATTCATGCTAGGCCCATAATATCCAGTAGGCAGCAACAATCAACAAGCATGGCATTCTGGCACTGACTGCTTCAAATAGATAAAGTGATTGTCCTGGGAAAAGAACTTGCCTCATGTCATCACAGGTTGGTATGCAGGCGCTCTGGCACAAGCATTGAAACAGTTGTTTGTGCTACTTTCAATGTTTGTGTTCTAAACTGCTTGTGTACCTGAAGTCGTTTCTGAAGGACTGAAATGGAACAAACACTGGTCGGATACTTCTGTGCCCATCATCACATCCAAGCTGCAAGGGCTTTGCTCGACCCAAACACGCTGTTGTTGCAACGTATGCATGGTCTTGGCAACTAGAGGTCATCCCACATGTGTATTTGAATAAATGAACACAATACAACAATATCAGTAAAGAGCATGTTGCGAGGGTCAGTTTTGCAGCAAGCCCACTAATGCCAAACAGTTTGTGCCCTGTCTGTTGGGCAAGCCATAATGATGGTGTTGAAGGTTGCATTGGCACGTACAAAAGGGGCTCATTGAGGTTGCAACGATGACACCCCCACTTAAGTCTGTGCCATATTCCAGACTATGCATTGCCAGCTCTCAGCTCCGCTGTATGCAATGGAATTCTCTGTCCAGGGTGCCAGCCTTGGCACAAAAAGGTCCAGAGGGCAGTGGTCAACGCTGCATCAAGTATTGGTGTTCAGCGGAGTTTGCAGAGATGCCATTCAGAGCAATATGTGGATGCCCTCGATGCCCATCATCGCCTTGGTTGGTGCAATCCAATTGGCATCAAATTAACAAGCCAGGTAGCAAGAGAGAATGCCAACTGCCACCAAGCAGGTCAGACATGCATGGAAGCAGAACACTGCCATCTGGGTGAACACAACGTGTGCCCGAATCCCCAGGCCCAGTGACGGCTGCGGTGCACGATCAGCAGCCACTCCTCCACATCCGTTCCACACAAGCGCACTCTGCGAGATTCAACCTGCAACCACTGTTACAAAAGGGCACAGCCAAGCAAAAGTTCCCAACTGAGCACTGACTTGGGACGGTTTTAGACAGTCCGTATGGTTGCCAAGAGCCTCCATTGCCACACAGTTTCGCAAGTGGTCGATCGCTCCGGTTCGGGGCCGTCCTGCACGCAGCACGAGCATCGAGCTGGGTGGCACTGACTGGAGTCCTGGGACAGGGCCGGGACCACCCAACCCCATCCCCCACACATCCTGCCCTGCACGCACAGGCAAATCAGCACCAACGCTTCAGCCAGACCCCTTCCAGCATTCTCTCAAGCTTCAGGGCAGGTCCGAGTCGGGGGCAAGACCAGGCAGCAAATTTGCTGTTTGAACGTGAGCAGGGCTTGAGACACTTTGCGCCTGAGGCACAGCAAGTTCTCCAATCTAACCAGCAACTTTAACGGCGGCGCTGAGAGTTGCTCGCAGTGCGGCCGGCGCTTGCCCTGAAGCTCGCCTTCGAGTTTGGAGTCCTGTGGGCGCGGCACGAAGATGCAGCTCTCCGGATGGGTGACTGCAGGCACAGCGAAGGCAGTGGCAGCCCGAGATGAAACAAACGCGGCTTTAGCGCACCACCGCATCAAGTGCGGTGGACCCGGTGGGCCGCCGGCAAATTTGCGAGCGGCCGCGGCGCGCGCAGCTCCATAAAAATCGGGAGCCTACAAATTGGGAGGAAAACCGACCTCTCAGGGGCCAATCCTGAAACAATGCCCTCTTTGCTCTGCTTGGGCCGATCAACGGCAACGGAATCGGCGACCAGTCAGGCTCCCCAGCCGGCGGACCCGCACCTTGGCGCCAGCCTGTCCCCCACGGAGGGGGGGCCGCCCGCGTCACTCCACGAAGGTCGGCTTGTTCTCCTTGGCCTTCTCGCCGGGCGCCTTCCTGTTGTCTTTCCTGTGCGGGGCGGCAAAGGCACGATCACGGCGTCGGCACGGGGATCTAGGCATATAGGGCTGCAGGCATTTGAGCTGCCAAGCCACCAGATGGGTGAAAGGGGAGGAGGGGTGGGTGTGTGTTGGGGGTGGACGCACTTGGCGGGATGCATGTGGGCACCGCCCGTGGTGGCCAGGAAGGACCGGAAGAGGGCTGAGTTCACGTCGTAGATCATGGCCGGCCCAGTGCTCAGAATCGAGTGACGGGGTGGGCGGGATCGGCGGCGTGAAAGCGGTCTCCCACCAGCGGCGGCAGGGGCGGTAGCGGCGGTCGCTTTGCACAAGTCTCCACTCAGGCACCCAGGCAACCCCCCCCCGGTTTTGTTGGGCTTAGGGAGGCATTTTTGGGGTTGTTTTGTGTTGTGTTCTGGTTTTTCTTCGGTTTAAGGGTTTGACAGGTCCACGTCGGACGCCGGGGACGGGGACAGAAGCGCACGCGGGTTGGTGGGTGCGCATTTCTCGACGGGCGCGAGGAGGGGCTTGGCAGAGGAAGCCGAGGCGGGCGGCCCGAGTTGGGTTGTGGGTGCCGGTCTCGAGCGCAGGAGCTCCGTAGAGGAGCGAGGCGATTGGAGGGAGATTGCGGGGATGGCGTTGGCCCACGGCGGCGCCGCGGCGTGCGCTCCCGGCGGCTGGAGGCGAGACCGCGAGGGGCGGGGGGGTTGCGGCCAGGGCCGGTGCACCGCAGGTGGGGCTTGTCGTTTTGAACGGGACGGAACGCGCCCAAGAATGCGGGCCCTTCTACTCCGGGGGAGGGGGCGGTGCTGCCTGGCTGTTTCTCCGCGCTCGCTGTGCGAATGAACTCGAAAGTGGCCGCGCGGAACTCGGGTCGCGGAGCACCGCGGGCGGCGAGGAGGTTGGCGGTGTCGGCGCCCTCGCGAGCGAAGGCTTGCTCGTCAACGGAACGGGCAAACGCGTCATGCGATGCCCCCCCCCGCCTACTCCCGCCTTCTTTTTGCGTGCCCCTCCTTTGCGCTAGACACTCTGCATCATCTTCTGCAGTGTGGAAAGGACTCCCACGCACACGCGCTAGCTGGGAAGCGCTCTTTGCATGAACTGTTTGTCTTTGAGTAAAACAAATCTTGCGGCCCACCCCCACCCCCCGCGCTAAGGACAATTCCCCCCTGCGACGATCAATTTCCCTCCTCGCGATCTGATGCATCGAGAGGCCCCCGCAGGCGGTGTGAAGGCCGGCGGGCGATCCACGGCGGCCGCTGCCCACCCCCCCTGGCACACCCTCCCCCTCAAGCACGTCATCGAGTCCCAGCAGTTCCAGCCCGACTCCCTTGACGCCATCTTCGGCGTGGCGCGCCAGATGGAGGCCGTGGCGCGCGGATCGCCGGAGTCCCGCATGCTGGCGGGCTACAACATGGCCACGCTGTTCTACGAGCCGTCCACGCGCACGCGGCTGTCGTTCGAGTCGGCAATGACGCGGCTAGGCGGCGCCGTGCTGACGACCGAGAGCGCGGGGGAGTACTCGTCGGCAGCCAAAGGAGAGACGCTGGAAGGTGTGGGGATCTGTGTTGGATTGCGGGGCGGGGAAGGTAGATAGCGGCTGGGATTGCCTTTTTGGCGGTTGTTTGTGGTGGCTTTGGCGATAGGACGATGCCCAGAATGATCGCCAACGCCATGGTGGTATGTCTCTGCTTTGGGCGAGTCTGCGTCCTGGCTGCCCTTGATAAGATTAGCTGTTGGCATCAGGAGAGCACTTCATGCACTGGAACTCCTCCCAAGCAAGTGCATGTGTGTGCGTATTTGTGTCTCCGAGACTCTTTTCCAAGCTGTGAAAAGATGCAGAGTTTCCCAGTGCAACAGGATGGGAAGCAGAACTTGAGCAGCTTGATCAGCTTGAAAGCGTGCACATTGCAACACAAGTTATTGCGCCTTTTTGTTCCACGGTTTTATACTGCATTCAAGAGTTCAGGCGCTGCCCTTCCCCGTGTAGACAGATGGAAACATGGAGGATGTGCTTGTGGAATTCAGTTGCATTTGCAACAAAGCTCTTGCACCTCAGCAAACGATGACGGCCACAACAACATCCATTCTGTGTTTGCGGTCCATTTGAGCAAAAACTGAACCCCTCCAACTTTGCGAAATGCAAGACCAGAAGTGTTTCTAAACTCTGTGCAGGAGACTATCAAAAGAAATCTTGAGACAGAATGTCACACAAGTGGTATTTCCATCTCAAATCTGCTACTGTTTCTGCATTCTTCTCTGTGTAGTAGAACATGACTATACGCATGACACATTTTAATAATAGTGCATAACTGTGTGCAATTCATAATGGCCTATGATAGTAATTCCAGAGAATCTCTGGCTAAGAATCCGATCGGGACTACCAAACTCCATTCCCTTGCCCTTTGGGCCACCAGGTTTCCCACCCTTGCTAGTTGGGACAATGTGTCAGTGGATTGGCACAGCAGTGCTCATGGAGCACTTATTTGCGGAATAGGTTCACAGGGGCAATCTGGAGTGGCCGAATGTAATTGCCAGAATGTCGTTGGATGCAGTGATGGGACCCTTCAACAATCAGCCCATTGCTTCCACTGATTTTCTGCACCAAGTTTGGCTTTGGCTCTCCCAGAAGTCCTCATATTGGAGCAGATCTTTTCCAGTTGTTCATATCATTCATTTCAGGAGCACATCTCTTCTCAGCGAGCTCCTCACAATACTGCATGGAACAGCTTTCTGCCACTGGCAGCGAATGCACATATATCGAATCCTGACCTGCTGTTGTGGCAGTCCCAAAAGTCACATCCCCAACCCAGAATGCCCTACCCAACAAAGATAGCAACACGATCGTGCATGCAGTGGTCACCTGCTGTTTCCACTGATGTCGCAGTTGCTTTGTTGTCCCTGGTGACAGCCATCACAGGGCTGTTTCTGCCGAGCCATTAGAATCTGCATGTGCTGAATTCTGCTCAATTATTTAGCTTTCAGTGATTTCATACAGCACAACAAAACTGCATATGAACTCAACTTCCCATATGAAACAAACTTTGCGGTTGCACCTTGCAGATGAACTTGGCCGTAAACACTTTATGCCACACTCTATTGTTAGTATTGCAATTATATGACATGCAGTACATTATAAAGAACTTGCTCATTCCCGCTGTTTGCATCGCTGCACAGCGTGGTATACACGTACGATGTATGGCACATGCATCGCATGCACTCCATCTCTGACGCTGTTGTGCGGCCTCAGATATTGATGGCTTGGCTTGCTGGTAGATACAATACGCACCATCGAGGGCTACGCGGACCTCATCGTCCTACGCCACTTTCAGGCCGGCTCTGCAAAGAAAGCGGCCTCGGCCGCAGCTGTGCCGATCATCAATGCTGGCGATGGGCCTGGCCAGCATCCAACACAGGTGGGCGAGGATGTGCAGTCCTGGCAACACGCCTTCCCCAACACCCCTATGCATACATCCACACCTCCAGGACCTCCAAATCCCTTCGTACTTCCTGATTTCTCATGTCATTCAACTGCCAATCCATCGTGCTTCTCAATCTTAGATCTTTTATCCTCCCCCTCCCCCTTTCCCTTTTCCTTTCTCCTGGTTTCTTGTTCTTGTGTTTTTCTTTCTTGTCTTCTTGTCCAGCACTGTGAAAGTACCACCCCTGCGCAGGCCCTTCTGGACGTCTACACGATCCAACGCGAGCTGGGCCGTCTGCGGGACTTCAAAATCGGCATGGTGGGCGACCTTTCCAACGGCCGCACGGTGCGCTCCCTGGCCTTCATACTGGCGATGTACAGCGGTGTCAAGATGTACTTTGTGTCGCCCGAGATCGTCAAGATGAAGGACGACATAAAGGCGCACCTGACAGAAGAAGAGGTGACGTGGGAGGAGGTGGACGACCTGAGGGAGGTGGCCCACGAGGTGAGGACAACTCCCGTGCTCGCCTCGATCCATTCTCATTCTGCTGCCAGTTTGCTGCCCTGGTTTTGGTCCGATTACGTGGCATGAATGTCTTTTCGTATTCCAGCATTTTGCATCGCATTTGAGAGTCTAGTCTCGTTGTCATTACCGTCGCATACTGTTTGTGTTCATGCTCATTTTGTTGCAGTTATGCTGCTTCCTCGATCCAAATGTCCGCCGTTCCTAAAACAGCTTTTCGTTTTTGCCAATGTGGTTATCCTGTGTCAGATGCAGGCCACGTTCTTATGCAATCCTTTGTGCAAGAGCGGGATACAAATCTAAAGCCAGGCTCTGCACATGCCCCATTCTACCAGTCATTAAACCATTCCTTTAAACAATGCATTGATTCTTCACTTCTGCCCCCTAACGTCCATCCAGCTGACGGAATTTAACGCAATCAAGCGTTGGTAGTCAACGCTTCAACACATGCGAGCGGGGCGCATTCACGCTTTGCTGTTCCCTGCACGAAGGTGGACGTGCTGTATCAGACGAGAATACAGAAAGAGCGGTTCCAGGATCGGCCGGACGATTACGAGCTGGCGAAGGGCAAGTACATAATCGACGGCGCCCTCATGAAGGAGCTGCAGCCGCACGCCGTGGTGATGCACCCCTTGCCACGTGTGGACGAGGTGAGAAATGGCCGGCGATCACACTTCGATTTCTTCGTCTTGGGTCCCTCGACGACCGCAATTTGATTTTTTCGATGTCTTCGACGACCACGATCCATTTCTTCTTTTGTCAATATCGATTTCTTGTGTCGATTTTATTGTGTGGGTTCCTTGTGCAGATCACCACCGAAGTTGACGCCGATCCCCGCGCTGCGTACTTTCGACAGGCAAGGAACGGCCTGTACATCAGGATGGCCCTCCTGAAGCTGTGCCTGCTTGGTCACTAGCGGGGAGCGAGCCGTGGCAGCTCATTCTGCGCATGTCAAGCATGTCAGCAAGGAGACACTGGGGAAGGTGATGGCGTGACCGCCGTTCCATCCACAACCTTCAGTACATAACACCGAAGTACTAGACATGTGGTGAATCTATGGGGTGACTCTCGTGTGGGGACTGTTGGAGGGGAGGTCGGTGATGTTGGTGCGGGGGCGTCACCGCAGGCAGCCGACTGCAGCATTATCAGGAACGTGGCCGCCAGACGAGGACGTCAGCAGGAGGTTGGCACTATCCGGCTGTTCCATCTGTTTAGAGTACTGGCAAACGGACGATGACATGGTCACTGATGATTGTCATAATGACGTCAGCCCTGTTTTGAGAAAAACAGTGCAAGGCTCAGTGCTTGGCAACAGTTTTTGGCACAAGTTTCCTTGAAGGTGGCAGTGGCGATGCACCTTCTGCAGGAGGTCATGATGCGGGATGTGGAAGCAGGGATGCACACGCATATGTAAGTGACGTTTTGGTCAACGTCGCCAAGACGAAGTCAGTTTGTTGCGCAAAACACCAGCGTATGGGGTTCGGCATTGGCAACTGCGACGAAAGCAGCAGCAGGACAGTCAGCTGAAAGATGCCCTGAATTCGCATTTGCGACGTTTGAAGCAAGCACCGGTGCATGGGCTCGTGGTGTAAATGTTTTGGTTGCCTCCACTTGTTCATTTCCATGTCGTTCTGCCGCCCGATTCGTTGAGATGGCAACATTGGAGACCGCGGTACCAACGACACAGCTGTTGTGCTCATTGATGCGAGCCAACAGGTGTGCCAGCATTCTGTGGAGGTCACAGAGCCTTAAGAGCCGCTGTGGAGATTCCGGATCAGTCACGTCACGTGCTCGCTCACTGGCTGCCGTGCGCTGAAGCAATACCATGATTTGTCCATGGGCGAACCCACAGGAGTCCTCAGTTGAGCAGTTTGTGCCATCAGAAGGAACGGTTTTGCGGCGTTGCTGCTGCTGGAACTTGGAAACGAACCGTGAACCAAACTTCCGATATACGGCTGCCAGCGATTCTGCTTTCATAGCATTTCGGGCGTTGAGGACAACGGCCAAACTGACACTAGTCTGGAATTGCAGACGCTGGAATCTCATCGCCTGCACTGTGCAAATGCCCATCCACTCTGCATCCCACACCATTAGCAAAAAGCAGCACTTAAAAAAGCAGTGCCGCCACAACCTCAGCAAAGCTATGCACTAGTACATTCATTGTACCAGAAACTCTGCTGCAACTTGCTCCACGTGCACTCCACAGAACAGTGCCCACTGTCGCCTGTTTTCCCTGCGATGGCAGCTCGGAGGGCTTCTTGCAGAGAGGCTTTGGGGAAATGAGGAATCCGCTGTGATACAACAGTGCCTGGTCCATGATGGACGGATGGTTGTTTGAGTATGAGGGACATGCCTGCCACTGACCTCTCCGTAACTCTGCTCCCCCAGCTGTGTCCCTATACCTGCCTCCGACATAGTCCCACCCCGAACCTGCTGTATCACAGGTCAACTGGCCATTTTCGACCTCATGCAATGCGTTGGCCTTCTCTCCTTCCTATATTCACGCATTTCGCTGGAATCTGCACCGTGCAATTCCTCCCTCTACTGTAAGATGCGACTGCCATTGTTGGATAACGAAATTGTGAGTCTCGTGGCCAGGAGTGCCAGACCGATGGCCAAGGCGGTGCCAATCCTCAAGCAGCTACAAAAAATGACTGAACACTGCCCTCGCACTGCCGAGACTACGATGGGCACCAGCACATCCGCAGCGTCTGTTCATCCAGGAGACAGTCCAGGACGGTTGCGTGCGCACGGGCGCATCGCTGTCTCACATCTCCCCGCACTCCGTTATGACGCACGGGAGCTTGGGCTTGTTGTTGGCACCCACAGCAACGTTCTCGATCTTCCTCACCACAAGCAAACCCTCCCCCAAGACTCGTCCAAACACCACATGCTTGTTGTCGAGCCAGGGCGCCCTGGCGCACGTCAGAAAAAACTGAGGACACAGCAACACAACTTGTGGTCAGTCGCTCTCACTCCAAATTCTCATTTGTTGTCCCCATCGTTTCCAGTGTCCGATCTTTCCCTCTCACAATCTGCGACAAAATGGGTGTGGCGCTGGTAAAACGCGGGCCTGTTGGAGGGAGGCCGCTGTATTTTCATTGCTTGAAGCGCTGCTCGCCAGATCGACAGCCAAACACCTGCATCGATGTATCCATGCAAGGGAAGACAATGTTTGAAATTTGTGCACTTAGCATCAAATGGATGCTAAGTTCTGCCTCCCTGGCCCTTGGTCCCCCGCCCTCCTCTCTTATCGTCCGTTTGACGGAAAGCGTACAACATTCAGAACAGTGTCTTCCATAAGTGCACCCATGCTGATTCGCTGGGTTGCAGCTGCCAGCATTGCTATGAAAACGAGGATCATGCACAGTGCAGGGGATGAATTAAAGCGGTTGGTGGGCAGCCCTGGGTGCAAAACTAAAACTCTATGCACCTTGTTTTTGTCAGGCCGCTTTCACCTTGCTTTGCGGTGACAAGTTCATGACATAATGTACTGTGATGAATTTCAAAGGTCACATCGCGATTCACAGCAGACAGCCACTGGGCCATTGATGAGCCGACAACTTACCTGGCATCCATTCGAGTGCGCTCCACTGTTTGCCTACAAGACAAGCATCCAATAACAGTAACTGCCACAAAATACTCAACAAACTCCTTGTGTGCAAATGTCGGTCACAGCTTCTCAAAAAAAGTCGCCCAACACAGCTGACACCAGCTGACACACAAAATATCAAAAAGCGATCGTGCGTGCCCAAGTCATTCTCAGTTTGTGGCCTTTCTGGCGGCAGGGCCCAGGGTCACAGTCAGACTGCTGCCCAAGAGCCAAGTTTTACTGCCACCATTTAATTCTTCACTCGATGCTCCTGTTCAGAAGTGCATCAGGCCAGATGTGCACAGAAACAAGACCCCCGCTTGTCCAAATCAACAGCGGAACTCTTGCATCACCAAGCTCAACGCCTTCTGTACATCTCGCGCTGATCCCACTCTGTACATTTTATTAATGTGGTGCATGTGCTTCTGCACAGGTGCCCAATTACAGGCTGCTAGCTCCCTCCAAGAAACAGCTTTGCAAACTGTGTTACCAAAAATGGTTAAAGAAAAGTTTGCAAGGTTCTGTAAACAGTTGTAGACCTTTGGAATCTGCTGCCCTGAAAGTTTCAATGTTTAGCAGCACATGAGGGGGCCACATCGTCTTGCTGTGTTTGCTGGCAGGCAAGCAATTGGTCACCCCCAAGTGCAGTCTGGCTCACCATCGACAACAAGCCTGGCCCTGTGTGCTTTGCTGTGAAATTCTCGTCACCAAACCGGCTGCCATAGATACTGATGCACCCCGTCCCATCCCCCTGCAAACACAGCAAGAGAGCTCTGTGGAGAGCAGAGATAGCACCGAATGAGGAGCCCACACACGTGATGCTCGATACTGCCAGCAACTTTTGTCTTCTGCCACAAGAGGCTAGATTTCCTTTCACAAATTCGTGTGACTGTTGGGCATTTTTGCCCCCAAATGCCACATCACCTTCAATCATGTTCAATTACAACATATTGTATGTTTTTTTCGGACCCTCTGAAATCAACAATCCATGTGCTGGGTCGTCCTAAGAGGCTATGCCTGTTGACGTTCAATGCCCCTTCAACATACTTCCCCATTAACTTGTGAAGTAATAATCATAAACAACTATTACTTACTTCACAAGTTAATGGGGAAGTATGTTGTAATAATCATAAACAACACCAACCCAATCGGATCTTGATGGCGAGCTGGGTTTGGACATCCCAATCTTCTCTATTTTCCTGGGGACATCTTTCTTGCGAACAAACTCTCTGACATGTTCTTGTATTTGTCATGGGTCCCGGGGCTCCCTCCTGCATAGCCTCATGGTTGGGGTTGAATAGGGGGATACCAAGCCTCGTTATTGTAATGGAATTTCACACAACCAACACCAACACCAACACCAACACCAACACCAACACCAACACCAACACCAACACCAACACCAACACCAACACCAACACCAACACCAACACCAACACAACACCACCAACCAAATACCTCAACACCAACACCAACACCAACACCAACACCAACACCAACACCAACACCAACACCAACACCAACACCAACACCAACACCAACACCAACACCAACACCAACACCAACACCAACACCAACACCAACACCAACACCAACAAAACAGAAACAACAAGAACTGTATGCTTCCCGACCTACTCCGTATTGCTGAGTATTTTGCAGCTGAGTAAACAGCAGCACTTTGCATGACTACAGCCTGTTTTGCAACCGTGTGCATAAGCAAACATCCATTCCCTCATTCTCGCACTGTGAGCAAATTATTAATCGTGTTTTATGTTTCTGCATTCAGTCTTCGAGAAATATAGTTAGCACAATTGATAATAATCAGAGGGGTGGGGGTGCAAGGCAACCATGGTGCCTTCAGATCCACGGGCATATGGTTGATCGCTCCGTGGATGAATGAAATCAAAGACCCAAAACAGAAGCACCAACCTTGAACATTGCAGCAGACGATGGTGAACTTGGTGTGTTGCAGGATGGGTTTGCAACTGTTGCTATCACATGGCCATGATATTGGGCTATTGACAACTTGTGCGTTGCAAGTAGTGGTCTTAACCCTGTAGATGCACACTAACTGATCATTAAACGGCATTGTTCCTGCCTTTCGTGCAAGGGGCCGAAATGTGCTGCAAGATGAGGAACCATTGGCACCACTTTGGCACAAAGTGTTCTTAGAAACATTCACAGGAGTGACACCTGCCTGCTGAAAGTCTCCGCTTTGGATCATGAAGTCCTTGATGACCCGGTGGAAGTCGCAGCCCTTGTAGCCGATGGGGAGGCCATTCTTCCTGCAACACGCAGATCGCTGCAGGCAAACAGAATTTTTGCTGAACGCAGCCAAAGCGATGGGAAGGCACTCTGTGCGGACTACGTCCTGTCGCATCATGGATGCCGGACATGCAAAACACAGTGGGCAGGTGCAATTCATTTCAAGGTATCGGCTTCTTCAGCGCAAGACACTGCACTTGCGCCCTGAAGGCAATGATGGGCACTTGCATATCTGAGACGCTGTGTATCTTCCTCATAAGTTGGTTACTCCGCACCCTGCCTGTTCGATTCGTTGCACGTTTTGCGTTCCAAAGCATAAAGTAATAAGCAAGAGCCCAAGTGTTTCCCCCTCCTATCAGAAGAGTTAGTGGCCTTGTGGGGTTGGCATGTGAGGTGAAAGGTCGTCAAGAGCCGTTGCTCTGGACCGCAAGCAGACAAGACGAGGCAAGCAATGCTGGGCAGAGTGGACAAGGATAGGGAAGCTTGTCTGCAGACACAGCTCACATCGGATGGACAGCTACAATGTTTGGCTTGCCTTGCTAAACATGTTGGCTGGTTATCTGGACATTGCATGTGCTTGCATTTAGCTGCACACATGGCATGCATGTTGATGTCACAACAGTCCAAAAAGGCAGTGCCGCAACAATCAGGAAGGTTTTTGAACACACAATTTGCCATTCTGCCAGAACTTCACAGGACAGTCATGCCTATCCTGCAGGTTTTGGGCATCTAATCACCCACTGCTAATGCCTGGCTTCATAAACCATGAAGCAGCAAACCTTGAAATTGTGCTGATTGCGGACACCCACACACAGCCCACACAGCCCCACAGCTGCAAAGACAGGGGCCTGTCATTGGCCAAACTGAATCAACTTAGATCGACAGATCCAGAAAACTCACCCTCCATGGCTCTTATACTGTAAATCCCCCATCGAGGTTACCATGAGCCTCTGGCACAGTGGAGTGGGGTGGGGAGTGGCTTTTGGCGCAGTGGACCACCCACCTGTACTCCCCTGTGCAGAACTGCCTGAAATTTTCGCATGTCTTGGGACATAGGTCAGCCCACAGCTCCATCTTTATCCTGCCCGCCTTGGCGCCGCCGATGCTCACATCTGCCATCATGCATGGACACACATGCTTCAGCGATTGGGTGCTCCATGCAGGATTGGTTTTCCAGACAAGTAAAAACCATCACGAGAGACGCACATTGACAAAAGCATGCGTCCACACACGTTGCTAAACAAAGATTCAGCGCTACGGTTGCCGCTCTGATCTTCATCCTATCCCTGTTGCGGTCAGAAACTGCTGCGCGATTTTCTGCGGTGTTGACAGCAATCCTGGCAACAGCAACAACAGCAATGCGCACAATGACAAGACAATTAGAATAATCGTCATCAGCAGCAGCAGCAGCAATATTACAATCTTCCAGTTGCAATCTTGGCAATGTTCACTCTCGCTCGGGACGGGGCGCCCCAGCGGGTGAAATCTTCCCCCCTTCTGTCACGCAAGCATCAGTCGTCGGTGTGCCACCGTCTGGCCACCAGCGCCGCCGGCCCAGGCGAACGTGCTGGAAGGGGCGCCACGGAGGCCGAGAAATCATCCAGCGACTTCCTCACCAAAGAACACGACTGGGTTGTCGGGGTTGGGCGTGCGCAGGTGCCACTGCTGGTCCTCCTCGTTGGACATCGCGCCCGCGAGGGTGAGGAGCAGCTGGTGTTGCCGTCCGCTGTGGGGGCAGGGGCCTCTCGTGGAATTGCAGAACACAGGCGTGTGGGTGCTGGGGTGGCGCGGTAATCGAAGGCTCCCACGCCGGGAGGCTTTGCCATGCCCGGATCCCGGATTGCTGTGAAAAAAGCCCTGTGCACATTGGTTACCACAGGTTTTACTGTGGTTACCGCAGGCGAAAAAAAGCCCTTCCGCATCGGAAATTTAAATGCCGGTCAAATTTAACCAGTTGGTTAATGCGGTTCAGTTTAGCCGTTACGCTTGTTGCTCCTCATATCGTTTTTCAGAGCGTTGCTTCGTATTATTCTTATGTTGCTCCGCCAGAAAAGGCCAAGCGTTACGTTACCTTGCGAAAGGGTTCAAGAACCTTCGGTAGTTGGGCATTTCCTCTCGTTTTGCCGGCGTCAGGCGATTGGTTTTCAAATGATGGGAATGAGGGATGATGAATGGACGCCGCGACCGCAGCAACTGCGCCACCAACAAATGTCCTACAGATGGAGGAATAGGGTGTGAAAATTGTTCACACTGCAGACAACTGCCGATTGCGGGGCGCCTGGGCGGCAGCTCAATTGTACCTCCGTACAGCAAGCCCAAATGGCCAGGCTTGATCATAACGGCACTATGTCGCTGCACGCAGCGACACTGCGCGTTCTTGTGCAAGCACGCGCATCTGCGCGCATCCTGCCTTCGCTGTGGGTGCGAGTGGTTACGTCGCCATCCCGTTGAGGTCTATTTTGAAAGCTTGATCAAGGGGGATCTCTGACACAAGGCCGAAACCGCGGGAACAGCGCAGTCGCATGGGATGTCGAAAGTATGAGTCATGCCGCGTGTTTGACGAGATCATCGACCTGTGGCACACCCAGAGTGCTGGAGGGCTCGAGGAAGCTCAAATTACACTATGTATGTATATTTTTTTGAATTCCAATGTATTGCACGAGAATGTAGACGAAGGATCTCCCCCACAACATGTGACGTCACTATGTATGTGTACACTGTGTCTGCATGTGCAGTGATGCGTGCCCAGATTAAAGCATACGACTTAGTGCCCACTATGGCACGTGTGTTCCCACAATGACCAAACTGTAGGTGACCAATTGCACGTGCGATGGACAGAGGATTCGAGGTGTCCCTTCACCAAATTGTGTCCATGAGGTCATGTTCAGTGCCCTCATTCGGAAGGTTGCGGACAAGTTGAAAGGGGCCCTGAGAGTGTCTGTGCTGAATGAGACTGCCAATCTTGTCTGCAGCAATGCAGGCAGGCGAATGGTGTGTGCCACAATATTGGTACAGTCAACATTGGCACAATATTGCGCCAGTATGGACAGGTCTCAAGTTTAGAGACCCATTAACTGCTCGATGATGCGCGCTTTTCCCGGAACTTATGGGTTCCTCCTGGCCAGGGGTCCATTGCGAATAGGGGGATTGAGCTGAGCACCACCAAAGGCCTCAAATCACAAGGCTTGCAGCGTAGCCAGCGGCGAAAGTTCACAGCTGGTACACAATAAGGGTTACAATTTGTAGCATGCTTTCAAGGAGGCATCGGTACGTCCAGCGTCGCGCGCAGCTCGCTTGGCAGCTGGAAGCAGCGGAACTTTATCTATCCCATTTCCAATGCTGGGCGAAGCCGGGAAATCTGCAATATTTGTTATTGATCAATATGTATAGGCGCTTCAATCGGGTATGTTGTCTGGCAGACACGATACGCGGACACTGTCTGCGTGAATCACCCTAGAATCTAACGATACTTAACGTGCAACGGACGCTAATGGCCGTCGACAGGGTCATCACTCAGCCACGTTTGCCTGATATGCAGTCGCAATGACATCAATTGGACGTGCTTGACAAATGGGCAGTGATGAAATAGCTTCGGTTCTCATGAACGCTTCCATGCGTGAGGATGAAATGTACATTGCAGATCGAGTATCACAAATCTGAAGTTATGCAATCAAGCCCCAGCCCCGTTCATCCGTCGGCCAAGTTTCACCCCCGGCTTTGGCTTCCAAAGCTTTTAGAACATGTCTTTTGCGGATTTTGACTTTGCTCTCAATATCCGGTACCCCGTCTTGTAATTTCAAATATCTCATGAATTCATTTCCCTTTTCTGCATTTGAGGCATCCCTTTGATGGATTTCAAAACGCTGTGGCGACCATGGCGTACCATCCAACACCGCTTCTCCCGAAAGGGGGTCGCAATCGAGAACACGTACCCCGTGGTCTAATGCGCCCTCCACACGGCTGCACTTGCGCTGGAATAATTCCACACCCGCATCTCTACCCGTCCCAATTCCTGATGCCAGAAATTCGCCGGTGTCCCCAAAATCGGCATCATGGCCCAGGCTTTTACCCTTGTCAAATTTGCCGCCGGAACAATCGCCATCGGTAATATGTTCATCTTCCAAACACGGCGCCAATAGCGCGGAAGTCCCCAGATCGATTGACCTCCACCCGTCCACATCCGTGTCATCAATTGAATCATTCACTGGAGCCACGAAATCGAAGTCGCCACGATATTGCAACGCCCCACGGTGGGTCTTCTCCGTCCCGCTCTCCGACTCTCTAGCGTCCACTGATAAGGTGCAGGTTTCAGCGCCCGCAGCTTTGCCGTCCTTGAAGTCGATGGCTCCAATTCCCCGGTCACTTCCCTCCAGCAATCCCCCGTTTTCGCCTTCCCTCGACTCGGCGACAATGTCCAGCTCATTCCCGCCCTCCATGTCGCTGCGCAAATAATCACTTAGAATTCCATTGTGTGCCTCGATTTGGGATTTCGAAATCCAAGGCGGCGCCCCCCCTTCCGAGCCAATTCCCCTCCCACAGTTCCGTGCGGGTGCACTGTCCTGCAGAAGCGAAGGAGGAGCGTCGGAATTCGACAGCCACCCAACCGAACCCTGCGGAAACACACCGCCACACCAGCGCCCTCGGTTCGCCGATATGCCAAGATCGGACCCAGACTTCGGCTGAATTTCAGATGGGAGCAGCTTGCCCACAACGCTCCGTGAACCTGGCGATCCTGGCCAGCTTTCGTCCGCATGATGAGGGCCCTTTGAATGGCGATCACCACTCAACTCATCGCACAAATATCCACCGCTGCTTCCACGGAGATCGAAGGAGGGTTGGCGATGCGCCATCGCCTCGACGCTTTTAGCAAGTACGTTGGTGAAATCAAATGGATTCGGCACTGGCTGTGCCTGAGCCTCAGTCGATGGCCATCTGGGAGGCAGCTTGTGGCTGCGCGGAGGTGAGGACAAGGAGCGAAGGTCGCACGTCGCTGGCCTCGGAACAGACTGGGATTGCGACCCAAGAGCGCTCCCAGTAAAGCAAGAATCCACTTTCGGATCAAAGTCCAGAATACCGCACTTGCCTCGAAAAGTTGGCTCGTCGACGGTGTGCAGTGCCGAAATTTGGACGCTGTGAGCGGTGGGCGGACATTTTCGACCATCCACGCAGGTATTCTGGTCGTTCAGGTAGCGGTCCATGAGGAAGCGCGATCCTCCAAGATCCCGCTGTGCCTCGTCGGGCCAATTGGCGCCGACATCGTCGACCGACTGTGGCACCTCATTTTCATGCGATCGCTCGTCCGGGCCAGCGTGCTGAGCGGCATCACTCTGCGCGGTCATTTCCGCTACATTCTGAGCTGGGGGATGATTGCCCGCGGCATTCAACCTGGGGCCGCGCAAATCTTCATTCTGAGTTCCCGAGCGCCCTCTCTGGCCGTCCAGCTTTCCCATCAGAGCATCCATCAAGGAAGACCTCGCGGACGGCCCCATGGAATCAAGCTTGATGCCGTACTCCCTCTCAACCATGCCCTTGAGTCTCTCGCGCTCGACTTCGATTTGCCTAGTCCAATCACCCAATGCCCCATTCCCTCCCACGGCCATAGCCTTCCTGCATGCCTGCGATCCCGGTCTGGCCACTTCATTTGCACTCATGTACATAGAGATGTCGCCATTTGCCCCGCTTTTTGCAGGCCGCTTTTGACCCTGGCCCTTCCTGTCGGGGACGTTTCGAACTGCGTGCATATTTCCGGCGCTGGGGCTCGGGGTGCCTCCGGGTTGGGGAGCGCTTTGCCGCCTTCGAAATTTGTCTGGAGGTTTCCCTGCGCTTCCTGTGGAGGCACAGCTCGGAGGCTCTTGTGCGCTGGCAAATCTCGGCTGGGAATGTCTGCTCGTGTCTGGGGTGTGGCGGTTGTGAACGGGTCCGGTATGCGGAACTTGCGCGTCAGCTGCTGGAAGAAACATAAACAGAAAGGGAACTTTTCAGGAAGGCTTCATTGCCCTGATATTGTGTAACGAATACGAAGCGCACTCCTGCGTACCGCCCAAAATTGTCCCTGTGATGTTAACACCCAATGTCACACCCAATCCTGTCTCTTGAGAATAATGAACGGGTTGACGCCGTGCTGCGAGAATACAAAACGAAAAGCATGCTTGCTTACAATACAAGTACCTGGATTTGTGGTTCGCTTGAACAATATATATGCACCTTGGCTCTGGCCGCGCCAATTTTGTTGATTTCAGCGTTCTCGTGATCGAGCATCACAATGGTAAAGAATCGGCCAAAGTACACGGTCGCGAAGATCGTTTACCGTATTATGCGTGTAAAAATGGTGTAAAAATCGTGTAACAATCGTGTACTGATCACAAAATGCACGGCTGCCACCGGCACACAGTTGAAATCGTGCAAAGCCTTGATTTTTGTCGTGTTGTTCATGGTAGTAAGGTGGGCCACTTTCGTGTACTACACAGCGCTGCAAACTACACGATTTTAGCATTAGTGTAAAATCGCGCTCCGAAGTACTCGATTTTTATACGATTTTTATACGATTTTAATACGATTTCACTCGATTTTACACCGAGTAAAATGGTCGAATTTTTACCAAAAACATAGCTCAGAATCACATCACGTGGTAACCACAAAACAATTCTAGTCCGTGAGGCATTGATTGGACATGAAAATCACAGAAT